TTGAAACAATTGTCTTGGGATACCTTGTGAGTTGTTAGGGCACCAAATCATTGCACACTGGTACAAAATCTGAAGCAGCACAAAATCCTTAATATCCTTCTTTGATGTTGACTCAACAAGTGTGTCCAGCAACTCTTCAACATATCTCCACATGCTACCAACTTCTTCTTTATCTTTGTCCTTTGCCTTTGCCTTTGCATTGGCCTTTAGCATTTCTTTCTTCTCTTCAAAGTACTCTCTCCACAGCCGGTTGTGCGATTCTCTATTTCCATAAATCAACTCCCCATCAATAGGGAATCCCGTGTGATTTTGAACCCATTCCTCATCAAATTTGATTGAAAACATCAACCAGATTTTCGAATCGGGGAACGAGAACTCATCCTTTTCGCCAACGTAATGACTTAGCACAAGCTCTAGTGTTGGTCGATCATGTGCTGGAGGTCCGAACAAGACGTAATGTTCGAAGTTACTTCCCTTGTAGGCATCCCAGTGCCACTTCTTCATTCTTTGTTGAAGATTTTTCATGAAAGCATAGTACGATCCAAAACATGTCGTAGGCCTGATATCACCTACAACATCAATTTTCCTAAATAAACAAATATTTACTCTTAACAAATCATTCAATTTCTTAATATCCATTATACTTATTAACATCAGTGGCAAATATTAACATTAAAGGTTAAAACATAATAACCTTTTATGATAGTTAACACTTACAGATAAATGTTAACAACACTCAACAAAACTTAACATCTGTTCGTACAAGTTAACATTCATTTATGAACTTTAATATCTAATGATGAAACATGTATGTCTAAAAGTAAAAATTGTTTATTTACCTTTTTCATGTAATGCTATCACTTAAAAAAAATTGATGTACAAGCTATACTTCTCGATATATAATATATGACAAATCCAATTGCAAATATTCACATACTTTTCATACTTGTTGGATGTGATTATATATTGTAATTCATATGCTATGATTATACTTCTCAATATATATTACATGATAATAAAACACAATGAACTAAATTCCAAACAATGATTCTATATGTCATACAACAGGTTTACACTTCATACATAATAAGTTAACATGATTAGGACAAAAATTCTACAAATAAGGCCCCTGTTTTATCCATTTTTATTATCAATAAATTGAATATTAAACTATAATAGTCATGACCTTAGCCTAGCAACAAATGATTACTATTAACATGAATTAAAAATAGTTAACAATTAAGGCATTAACTTAGTAAAAGTCAATATTTGAGAATTATTGACATACATTGCTAATAGCTAACAACATATGAGAATTATTGACATGCATTTCTTCAAAACGATTATACTTGATATTGTTGAGATCATATTCCCAAATAAAGAAACTAATTCTACATTACAATAACCATCTCACCATCATTTTTTCATAAACAGAACTTATAAATCTCATTTGCATTTCAAACAAATAAACTGTTAAATGTCTTTCTTTTTTCCCGCTCATATTTTCAGCTAACATCCAACACCATAATTTTACAAATTACTTATAACAAAAATTAATTAAATTCAAAATCACTCAATTTATTGGGAGCTTATTTCTTCTTAGAGATGGGCACATCCTCTGGCGAGCGTCTCCTATTGTGGTCTCGAACTTCTGATCCACTTTTCTTGATCAATAGGGTCACCGTCATCTCGTTACTTTCCTCATCCTCAGAGGATGTCGAAGGAGGACCACCAACGGGGGATATGAAGGCAGAGGCGGAGACAGAGACGGCTGATTTTGGCGCATCCTCCTTCACCAACCACGCCGAGCAGCGGTGGTGACAAACCCCTTCCATTTGGGTATTGTCTCCTTCACCTTCTCCACATTAGGGCTCTCGGCTATTTTTATTAAACTTTTTAACCGTTTTTTATGGATTTACTGGGCGTTTGAGTGAAAACTTGGGTTTCGAATTTGGGTTCTCGAGATGACGGAGGTTTGAGCGTGAGAGAGAGAGAGAGAGAGAGAGAGAGAGAGAGAGAGAGAGAGAGAGAGGGGGGGGTGAGAGAGAGAGAGAGAGAGAGAGAGAGAGAGAGAGAGAGAGAGAGAGAGGGCAGACAAGTTTTGGAGTTTTGGGGAGAACGGGTTAGGAGCATTTTAGGGTTTTGGTAAACAGTTTCTCTCTATGCTGTGTTGGAAAGGTAAATAGGGGCTAAAACATAATTATTTTATGTATTGGGGGCTTTGTCACATCAAAATAATACGGAGGGCCTGGTCGCAACCATTTTATTTTTTTGGGGCCTTGATACATTTTTCTCTAAAAATAAAAATGATTTCGTTTTCAGGCCTTGAACTATAGCCCGCAGACGACTTGTCTAAGGACCATGTTCGAGACAATGGAAATTGTACAAAAGGCCAATATCCCTTGCACGTATAATAAATGGTCATATTGTTGGCCATGATTTGTAGTACTAAGTAAGCCCAATACAAATTCATCCATCACGACCTAGATTCTCGGCAACCCAGATGAAGAAATTTTCTCATGTTGATTATTAGATTAGGCTAGAGCCCACAAATAGCGAGGGAACACTGGTTCATTCGTCCATTTCATTTTTTTTACTTCGGCCCATTACTATTTTTCTTTATTCAGAGTTGAGAAGAAATATATCGAAGTTAAACGTCTTCTCCCTTATAATACGAAAAAATACTAATGGGTAAATATTTGGAGTAAAAATGATTAGCCAAAAAAATAATAATAAAAATAAAATAATAAAATAAATAAAAGGTCCAAGTTAAACTTGTATTTGTGTTGATGTATTTTGAGTTTGATGTTATTTTTTGTAATGCATTGTTTTTAAGATATTTTTTGAATGCTTTACAATAACTATTTAAAAATAAAAAATATTGCAGCGGTATATATAGACAATGAATTCATCCATATCCACTTTTCAGTAAATAAGAAGATCTCAGATCTAGTTTCCTTCACATATTTACGGCTTAAAAGCTAGGGCAGATATAGCACACATACAAAGAACAATATTATTTGAAGTTGTAGTCATTAAAAGAAATTTTGACAATTTAAAATATATATATATATATATATATATATATATATATATTATATATAATATAATAATGTTAGGGCGCACGCCCCTAATACACCACAACCACACCCCTCTTTTATCGCTACACGTAAACGGGCCCCACATAGGATTTAAAAAATTTTAAAATCCCATGTGGGGCCCGGTTTACTGTAGCGATGGAGAAGGGTGTGGTTGGTGTGTGGTAGGGGCGGTGTGCCCCTAACACCATATATATATATATATATATATATATATATATATATATATATGGATCCATGACCCTCATCAGGACCACCGTAATTTGCCGTTAATTATAAATTTTTAGTAGGTTAAATATTAATCATAAATAGTTTAGATTTAAATCGAAATTAAGTTATGCTTGTTAGTCCAATTATTTTGTACTTCCAAATAAAGTCCAAACATAGAAATCTTTGCACGTGGCCAAAAAAGTCTTTATATGCCAAGAATTATGTTAACGCGCTCTACGTAGTTATTTTGCAAACCAACAGATTAAGCTTACGAAAATAGTGGTTCTTAGCACATCCATCAAGTTGCTCATGACCTCCTAATCTAAACTCAGACTACTAATTATACCTCTTGACCAAAGTCAACTGACTCGTGCCTTGAATAATTAGTGACATATATACACATGATTTGCCTAAAATATGTCGGGAGACTTTATTGTTTGCAAATGAGTGAAGAAACTAATCATGACTTGAATGCGCGTCATCATGTGTCTTAGTCTCAAGTTTTCTTAGTTGGTTTGCAATTGGCCATGTGAACGCCAGCAAATTAGGTGATATATGTGGTATTATTCGATCCATAATCAGAACCGTTAACGAAACAACAGGAGAACAGCAGAGTTTGTTTGGTGAAGGATTAGAGGGGCTCGTTAAATTATGGCAAATGATAGACTAATTATGTGGCTTTTGCCGCTTTCTATGGTCGGTTTAACCTACAAATGATCATCAATTATTGAAGAAAAAGTTGCTTGGAAAAGAACAACGTTTAACCATATGATAGTTAAGGTTTTAAATGAAAATTGATTCGTGCACTTCTAAGTAGAAGGTTACCCATTTCAATGGATTAAGGTAACCTTAGGTTTTGTGGATTTGAATCCACTCCGGTGAAAAAATTTATAGTGAGAGAACTCTATATTGTGATCTATCTTGATTGAATAGGAGTATATGCTTGCAGTGTATGAGGGTATGGTAAAGACCTAAAATTAACGAATCACAATTATTCTATGAAGAGCAAAAGTTAGTTAAGGTAGCGATCTCTCCATAACTTTTTATAGATGAGCTAAAATCATTTGACTTTTATAGCCCTATTTAGTAGTTGAAATATTTAAATTTGTATAAATTACAACGATATTTGATATACAAGCATCTATATTTTCTTGATAGTTGTGATTTATTTTGAGTGAAAAATGAGGTCGAGGTTGATATGGTAAGTGTTAAAAATTTTAATGAATCAAAACAATCAATTAAAAAGTGAAAGATTATGGCTAAAAGTAGTAATATGTTTACCGCTTCTTGATAAGGAAGATGATTGAAAATACTTTCGTATGTACTAAAGTGTTAGAAAAGGACAAATCTCACAAAACCTCCATGAAGTGGAAGGTTTTGTCTAGATCTCCAAAATTTTATGAATAAGCCAATACCTTCATGTGCTCTTATTTTACTAATTTGAATTAATGCTTTTTTACTATACTAATTTGAATTAATTTTTTCCCTACTCCAGAAGTTAGACCGTTATGCTGAATAAGTACACATGTTATTCTTATTTTTCCGATACAACTCGGGCTGGTATACGAAATAAAGTTTTACTGAATCTCATTCACGATCTAAGTTCTAGGTTCATCTGATCCATCCATATTATCGCAAACAAACAGAAAAGAAATGCAATCACAATAATTTAGACAAAATTTTCTGTATCAATGTATCCTTGTTGTAATTCTCAAAAGTATACACAAAATTCAAATCTCTATATATGTATGATACAAATTTTTTCTTTCCCCCTAGCAAGTTAAGATGTTCAACAGAGAAACTCTAATGTTCACCAAACACCTAAACAAACTCTCACTTTTACTTTCAACCCCCCTCACGCGCTCCTCCGCCACCTCAAATCTCTCCGTCGAGCTCTCTTCTCCCAAACCCCTAAACGATTTTGAAGTCGACAATCTCCTTAACGGCGTCCAAGATGAATTTTTTCCACCCGTCGCAGTCGACGCCACATCTGCAACCCCCAGGAAAACAGCTGCCAGTGCCGATACAGTCACACTAATGACCTCTCTAATTACTCCGGCCAGCTCAGCCTCCTCAACTCCGTTGGTGAATCTCAAACCAACTTGAGATTTAGAGATCTCTTTAAGCGACGAGGCGATCTTGACGAGCTCTTTCTCGCTCTTCCTGATCGATCTCGTGCACAAAGAAATATTGAGTTTATCTTGAATTCTGATGGCGACTTGAGCGTCAGATTTCTGCTGGGCAATCGTAATGAGCTCGGATCTGAAGCATCCGTGCGCGTCAGCGAGGCGCAGGAAGTCATTGAGGATGCGGTCGGTCCATTCGGACCCGGATCCGCGGCGGAGGGAGTCTTGGCTCTGGGGGAGGTTGAGGAGGTCGTTGAGGGAGGTGTGGAGGAGGTCGAGGCGGGAGAGGCCGTCGCAGAGGTAGGATGCGGACACGGGTGCGGATGAGACCCAGTTGGTGACGGATCGGATGTCGTCCTCGAGTTGGGAGATGAGGGGGTGGGAGCGACAGGGGAGACTGATGGATCGGACGTGGTAGGACTTTTTCGGGTCGGGTTTCGGACGTGGAGACCCGGGAAGGGAGAAGGAGCGATTGAACACGGCCACCATTTTGATTTTGATTTCCGCCCGCCCTCTCTTTCTGTTTTGTTTGTTCTTGGTTTGCGTTTGCGTTTTGAGTTTTGCTTGGGAATGGAGAGGGAGAGGGTTGGGGGTTCATATAGGGGGACGAGGGAGTTTAACGGGTGAAGTATGGAGGAGGTGAGGGGTAGCAGCTGGATCCGCGAATAATGACACGTGAAGGGTGTAGTGGAGCAGCGAGAGGTTACCTAGTTTTAAATTTGTGCGGTGTCGGCGGCATGCTGCGCGTTGTGAAACACAACTAGACGCGTCCACGTTTTAGCTGAGGGTCAGCCCAGCCAAATTATTTGGCTCCCTTTGGTGGTCGGTTGGGTTGGGCTGGCTTAGGCGTTAAGCGGTCAAAAGAAAAGAATGAACTTCGGTTAATGGTAAATTCAAAATCTCCTCAGCTTATCACTTTCTCCGCCCTCCTACGTCTATTGTTTCTCGGCATAATATTGTTACAAGAAGCTAACCTGCCTAAGTTATCTCTGCAGTTTGGCATGAAAGAAATAGTCAGTTTCATAATACTCCTCCAAAGTCAATTGAGACCCTCATCAAGGCAATCTAGACCAACATGCTCACGATTTTGCTTAATGCTACTATTCCTATCAACTATAAGGATTGGGTTGATAAGTTGTGAGTCTAGTTTGTAATATTAGATTACCTCCTTTTTTTCCTTGATATCAGGCTGGGGGTTGTATTCTCAGGTATGCCTAAGCTCTTGATGTACAAACATTTCTTACATAAGTGAATGAAAATGTTCTCATTGACCTAAAAAATAGTTAAGTTATAAACTTAAAAGACATGTAACCTTAACAATTAATCTGTAAACTTCACAAATAATCTATAATCATAACGACTAAGCTTTAAGCTTCACAATTAAGATATAAACTCCACAAGTAAGTTGAAACCGTCACAACTAATCATTAATCTTAACATCTAATCAGTAATATGAAAATTAAGCAATAAACTTAACAACAAACTCAAATAAACAATAACATACCTTATTACAAGGAATAAGCATTTGCCAGTCTACTGTAGGCGTCAAAAATTGCCTATGGGTTCCGCACGCAGCTTAAGACGGAGAGAAAACGATGAACATTATTATCAGAGTCAAAGAGGATTATTTGACGTCGACAAGCGAATGAAGAGAGTCAACGAAACGTACGAGTCAATAGGACGGCATAATAGTGAAGAAACGGTCCAATCTAGAATCACATTTCACTCACGAAAGGCGAAACGCCACTCGTGTCTCATTCTTTCCATACATGATTCACCCATGGGAGGTTGTAGATCTCTTCTTTGGCTTTCTGACGCAATTTGAATCATGTCATTCTGAGATCGGACTGAGGAATTATGACGAAAACAGTCAAAAAGGGGAAAACGACATCTCAACCTTGGTCGGGACAGTCCAAGCCCAGCCCGGACAGTCCATAACTGCCCTGGACAATCCAGAACTGATCCAGACTGTCCGGAACTGATGCAGACAGTCCGGAAATGCTAGGGACTGTCCAAAAATGCCCCGAACTGTCCGGAACTGGCCCGGACTGTCTGGAAATGCCCTGGACTGTCCGGAACTATCGTGGACTATCCGGAAATGCCGCGGACTATTCGGAAATGCCGCGGACTGTCCAGAAATGCTCCGGACTGTCCAGAACTACCCCGGGCTATCCAGAACTGCTCCGAACTATCCATAACTACCCCGGACTGTCCAGAACTGCCCCGATTTTGATCCTGAGCCTCCCTAACTAGTTAAAGGTTATCTATAAACGTGGTTAAGTGGTTACAACTGAGAATAAGATCAAATCGTTCGTTCTTATCCGAAAACAGGACTTCTGAAGCCTATAAAAACAGCCCTAGGGCCTTCATTTGCACAGATCCAGAATTTTCGAGCATTGGCGAAGCCTTGTCGGTTGGGAGAGTGAAGGAGCATGAATTTTCAGAGAGGAAAAGGAGATCTCGATGACTTATTTAGCATAAAGAGGAATAATTCGAGAGATCTGCATCTGGTTCATCCACTTCCCTCAAAATCGCACCTTGCTGTGATTCTCGAGAAGAGTGGGTATCTCACCTTACTAAGATATTCACTTTAGTTTCTTGTCTCCTTTACGAGGCAACGAAACCGTTTTTTGGATCTGATCATTTGGTGGTCCACGGATAAACCCCGGCACGGACAAAGATCTCGCGTAAGCAGAAGACTGATAAACGATCTCTGCGTGTGTTCTCAGGAAATCTTTCTGTTTCTTTTCATTGTAAGGAAAATTTTATAAAAAGACTTAATTTATCTTTTATTTTGAATCATTGTAATGCCTGAAGTTATAATGGATTCGAAAGCAATGAAACCAATTTTTGACACGAACACGCTGGCGACCACAGTGGGAGCCAACAGCCTTGCTTCCGAGGCTGTCGTGCCTTAACCGTCGATCAAGATCCTGGTGGACGAAGAGGTCAAATACGAGTTCGACTAGTAGAAGTTCGAGGAGTACATTTCCTCCTCCTCCTGCAGACTTCCTCTCCTTACAAGCGCAGGAAGACCGCTTCTCTAAAGAGGGTTCGTTGGTCTTCAGATCTGAAGACTTGGGGTGATGATCTTCACCCAGTTGCTACTAAAGACTTCTCCCCGGCACTTAAGAAGGCCGAATTTGACGTTCGTGACAACTCGTCATAGGTCAAGGAGTTGCCCGTCGAAGGCGCACCATTGTTGACGAAAAGGGCTCGTCAAAGGCGCCATCAACATCTTGCCCGCCAATTCACCAAGGTTTTGGATCAGGTGGACGAATTCCATTACCAAGCGGATCTAGAGTTTAGAAAGCGCTAAGTGGCTAAGCCGTCGCTATAATAAGCATCGGGGTTCTCCTCCCAACCATCAACTAACAAATGGGTTCATGTCAAAGGAACCCGTTCTACTCCCGAGGAACGCATCTAGGGGCGCCGCGCCCTTCTTGCACATGCCCAGATCCTTGTGTGTAAAACACAAGAATTACAAAAAGAAGAGATGGTTAAAAAGCCACCAAGATCTAAGCAAGTTTGGGTGCCGAAGGACAAAACAGCGTCTCTACCTGACAAGAGAGACCAGTCGTGTCTCTCACTCAATTCCAGCTCTAAGGCTGCTCCCCAGCCTTCGAGAACTTCTGATCCCGTTCCTCTTGCTCCCGCACCTCCGCTAAAGCCCAACGGCAGCGTGGATCTCTCCAAATTTAAAATTCTATTGAAGGATCGCTTAGATCCTCTACATGAAAATCGAGGCAAGACTCCTGTCAAGGAATGCTTGGGGTCGTTCCTCAATTCCGAAGCAACTATTCAGACCGGGGGTCGTACGCGTCCTTCTAACAAGTTGATTCCTGTAACCACTCGCTTGGGGGTGTGTGTTGAAGACCAAGAGCCCGTTAAGATCTCATCCTTACGAAGGTGTGATTCCAAACGTGTGACTCCTATGAACGCCAACAAAGCGTTACCTATTCAGAAGAAAATGTGTCCAACAGATGACAATGTTATACCTGAAAATTCAAGTAAACAGCCGATAGGTTACTCCAGCCATAACGCCGATGAGTTATACTATCGGGCTAGGGGTACGAATAACTCTCGAAAGAGAAGTACCCCAAAATCGGACTCACACTACCCTTGTGAGAGATTAATCAGGACAGTATTATAAGAATGTAGATGCCCCAAGACCGCTCCATAGAATGTCTCGGTATTTCAAAGGCTTCCCGTTGAAGCGTCAAAACCCAAATCAAGATGCTCCCGTAAAAGAAGATCGGCCATTAAAGATGACGAACTCCCAGAACTCACCAGCAACATGGCTGACAAAGAAAAGTCTGTTTTCGCTTCGAGTGACACTAATCCTGACTTTTCTCCGGGAAGAAAAGTTAATTCAGGAATAGCCCAACGAATGTCTTGGCTCCAGCTAGAAGCCTTGGCTAAATAGAAAGAAGATTTTAAAATCGAAATGGAGATGGCCGTGCAACAGGTCAAAGATTTACATGCCCAACAACTCCAAGAGTTATCAAACCAGCACGGTGAATCCAGTCGTTACTACACTACTAATCAAGTAGACAGCGATTCGAAAATAGAGGAGAATATTAATATGGATACCCCTCCCGATAACAAAGACGCTGGGGGTGGTCCCATCGATAATGATAACGCTGGGGGTGGTCCAACTCATTCTCCTCAACATCCTTCAAAGGAAGATATAGATAATGACGAGATGATGAAAGAGATAGAGAATAAGGTCAATGCCTTAATGTTCGCTCAAGAAGTAAGAAGAACGAGCATTCCATGCTTATATCCAAGAGAGTGGGATTGAATCCTGTACCCGGCGAAGTACAATCTGATTAACTTCATGCTATTTGATGGGAAAGGTTCACCCACTCAGCACCAAATTTATTTCAAGTCCCACGTGGGAGTGATCTTCGGGAATGAACCCCTGATGATTCGGCCATTCGTGGGCACCCTTCATGGGGCGGCCTTCGATTGGTATCGACGTCTCAAACCGGGGAGCATCAATTGCTGGGACGATATGGAAAGCTCGTTCCTCAACAACTTCTTCGATGATGGCACCAAAGTGTCAAACAGAGCTCTTCTGGATGAAAAGCAAAAGGACGAAGAGTCAGTTAACACCTTCGTGAAACGCTTTCAAAATAAGACGATGAATTGCCGAGATTCGATCACACAGGAGTTCGTACTCCAGACCTGACATCACAATCTCTTCTTCGATGTCCTCTAAGTCATGGGGGTTGCCCCATCAACCACCTGAAAAGAATTAAAACTGCATGGAGAACAGGTTGAGTGCTTCCTCAAAAGAAAGAAGCTAGAGAGAGGCCAGTCGACGGTTAACACACCTGAAGCTGCTGTCGATGCAAATCAAACATCACAGTGGAAACCTCAGAAACAAAGAAGGACTCCGGATCTGAGACTCTAAAAAGAGTACTCCTTCCAGGATGAGGAAGTTCCAACTATCATCAAGCACCTCCTCGCCAACGATAAAATTGAGCTACCACCTATTAAAGATTAAGAGGGAGCTAAGTGTATTATGGATCCAAACTAATGTACGTACCACAGGAGGGTTTTTCTTCCCACCAAGGTTTGCTTTGGCATCAAAAACAAAATCCAAGCCTTAATTGACTTCGGCGTCATAACAGCAAAACAAGCCAAATAAGAACGGTGTAGACTCCGATGAGTATATGAGTATAAACTGCTTCTCCATCGACTCCGATGAGTATATAAGTATAAACTGCTTCTCCATACACTCCGAAGAGTAT